TCCTCCTCAGTCCTTTATATATCCGTTGTCATGAGTAACGCTGGCTCTGAATGAGTCTCACTCCAGATGGTTGTAAAGGTAACAGGGATTTTTTTTTCAGAGCTATGTACAGCCCTATCTGTCTTCGGCGATGAAATCAACAACCAGCATACGTTTCAGCTCCACACCCATATGCTCTCTTCATGCTAGGGAGCTGCTGGTGCTCTGAACAGCCGTGAAACGGGCAGGCCGTTACCTAACGTGTCGTCATTCACTGGGAGCACCTGCTGCGTGCAGGCGAACACACAAACATGCGAGGGATTCACGCAGGCACGCACATGCCGAGTGAGACCCAGAACCGCTGCTCACTCACACGCTAATGCAAGCAGCGCAGGGAGCTCCATCATGGGAGCGAGCAGCTGGTCCCGCTGGAGAAATAAAACCCCACGGCTAGATATTCAACAGGAAGGAGAAGCCCAGCAGGCAGTAAGGCAAAGACAGGGATCCAGAGCTATTAGGACAGCACATTAGACACAAATGGACAGCAAAATCAGTGCAGGTTTTGGGTGGGTCATTACACTTGTCTGTCTGTGCCTCCATTTCTCCACCTGTAAAATGGGGTAGTGTGTCTGACTTCCTGTTATGGTCCTTGTAATGTTCATGCACATTGGAGAACATCATCCCAACTCTAGGTATAAAATTATGGGACTAATTTAGCTACAACTACTCAAGAGAGATATCTTGGCGTCATTGTGGATAGTTCTCTGAAAATAGCCTCTTAATGAGCAGTGGCAGTCAAAAAAGCAAACAGAAAGTTAGGAGTCATTTAAAAGGGGATTGAGACTAAGACAGTGAATAATGTATTGCTTCTATATCAAGGGCGGGGAACCTGATGCAGCCCTCTGCTTCCCTGGATTCAGCCCTCGAGGCTCAGGGCTCCCCCCCAGTACTGGGGAGCCTGCACTGGTGCTCCAGTTCCCCCTCCCCCCATTCTCCATAGAGCTGGAGCAAACAAAATCTACTAGCCGGGCTGCCCCTGGGCTCTGGTGTGCAAGGGAAATAAATATAATTTATGCTATCATGCGCCGAAAGTGTCCGTCTGCTATGTACGTTGGACAGCCGTCTCAGACACTTCACCAAAGCATCAATGCCCACAAAACAGATATTAGACAGGATCACAAAGAAAAAACAGTTTCTTGCCATTTCAACCAGAAAGGACATTGTCTCAATGACTTGATTACCTGCATCCTGCTTCAAAGACCTTTTCAGGCCACACTTCAAAGAGAATCCTCTAAACTGTCATTCATGCTTAAATTCGACACTTTACACTTAGGTTTAAACAAAGACATTAATTATCTTACCCATTACAAAGATAGGTTCCCCAATTATCACCTCTAATATCATTAGCTCACAGACATTTACCTCCCCCCCATCCTCCTTCTGTTCTGAAATTTGATTTGTCCTTTTCATATGTGTTCACTTCATTTTTTTTAATTGGATCCTTTGGTATATATGGTTGTGACAATTTTCTTCCACTATTTGATCTGAGGAAGTGGGTCTGGCCCACGAAAGCTCATCACCTAATAAACCATCTTGTTAGTCTTTAAAGTGCTACATAGTACTGTTTTTTGTTCTTTCTCCTTCTCAGGCAGGGTCCATGTCAGTGAGGGCTTGGGTGTGTTGGGGTTTTTTTTGTTTGTTTTTTTTTGCTTCTCACTTGTGTGCAGCCCCTGACTGATTCTTCTGTGGGTCAGGAGACCCTAAAAAGGTTCCCTGCCCCTGTTCTATATAAATCCATAGTATGACCACAGCTTGAATACTGCATGCAGATGTGGTCACCTTATCTCAAAAAAGATATCTTGGCATTGGAAAAGGTTCAGAAAAGGGCAACCAAAATGATTAAGGGTTTGGAACAGCTGCCATATGGTGAGAGATTAATAAGATTGGGACTTTTCATCTTGGAAAAGAGGAGGCTAAGGGAAAATATGACAGAAATCTATAAAATCATGACCGGTGTAGAGAAAAATAAGGAAAAGTCATTTACTTGGTCCCATATCACAAGAACTAGAGGTCACCAAATGAAATTAATAGCAGCTTTAAAACAAACAAAAGGAAGTATTTCTTCACACAATGCACAACCTGTGGAACTCCTTGCCAGAGGACGTTGTGAAGGACAGGTCAGTAACAGAGTTCAAAAAAGAGCTAGATACATTCACAGAAGCTAGATCCAGCACTGGCTATTAAATAGGATGTGCAGGTATGGTGTCCTTAGCCTCTGTCAGAGGTTGGGAAAAGGTGAGAGGGGTGGAATACTTGATGATTCTGTTTTGTTCACTCCCTCTGGGGTACTTGGCATTAGCCACTGTTGGAAGATAGGCCACTGAGCTAGATAGACCCTTGATCTGACACAGTGTGGCTGCTCTGATGTGCTCAAAAGCACAGGGAAGTCTGTTCAGGGTCCCACGTCACCAGAGGCTGAAGGGAGGTCAGACAGGCCTAACAAAAAGAACCAGCTGGGCTGTAGGGACTAGTTTCTGAGGAGAGACTGAAGAAGTGCACTCTGTCCTGCCTCGTTAAGCCAGGGCAGTAGTGGAAGATGCGACAGCTTCACTAATGTCAAGTTGATGGAAGAGGGAAGGATTCCTGGGGGGGGGGGGGGGGGGGGGGGGAGTGTGTGGGG